CTCTTTGCTCTGGGTGTTTTCCATAAAGTGGACAGCCGAAAACTGTCAACACGCCTCAGCTTAATAACGAAGTACCGCAAAAACATGCAACGCTGGATGGATTGACTGAAGTTTGAAATCGATTAATGTTCCAAATTAAACAGAGGGTTTTTCATTTCCTAAGCTGCCGCCAACTTTTTACGGCACCTTACAGCTCCAGCATTTGTTGCTCGCGACACCGGAGGCGTAGGAAACCGCTTAAGATGCCTTGCAGGATAAACCGGTCTAAAAATGAATCGCCACTTCAAGCGTTAGTTTAAACGACAGCGGGAAACAGTTGATGTCAAGATAACTGGCGTTCAGGACCATTCAAGCGACATCACACCAAGGCGACCTCATCTATCTATCTATCTATCTATCTATCTATCTATCTATCTATCTATCTATCTATCTATCTATCTATCTATCTATCTATCTATCTATATGTGTATACATATATATATATATATATATATATATATATATATATATATATTTCAAGTCAGTGGGGGGCAATCGAACACTTGGTCTCCTTATTCGGCCCTTTCAAGTCGGTACTAGCGGATCAAAATCATCCGAACAGTGATGTGATGTCTGTTCACACACACAACAGTGATGTGACATGTGATGTGACAACCATGACAACAGTGATGGCCGCGTATTTTGCAAACGTGCGATCGCTTTTTGAGTATGTATATATATGTATATATATATATATATATATATATATATATATATATATATATAATGACCACATGACCACATGAAACAAGCCGCCAACATAGCACCGCTGCACTCCCAGGCCGGCATTGTGGGGTTGATGCCACCGCCATCAGCAGGTAGCATCGCTGGTACTGGTGCCCCCTCGGTACGCAGTTGAGCACCGGTCGGCATGACTCGCTCCCCATCCGACGTCACGGGGTCTATTCCAGTCGTCCTCGTATGCCCTGGACGCCCTCGTATGCCCAGGCCCGTCACAGTCAAACTTCATATATCACAGCGTACGCGAATCTATGCATGTCAAACTCCAGCAATAAGCGGGCTCGTCTCGAATTATAACAGCACAATTCCAGGCGCCCGGCAGCGTCCCAACTCAGTCGTCAGTGAGTGACTCCCACCTCCGGCCGGCCGCGACCATCCAGCTAATTGAAATCAGGCAGCCGTTGCTTGGCTTCGTCGTCCCCCCCCCCCCCCCCGACAGAATTTGCGAAGGAAATCGCAAGGTAGGCAATGCGCGCCAGCTGTATGGAAGAGCTGGGATCGCGGGTTCGTACCGAGGCTGCCTAAACTGTGAACATTTTGTTCGCTGAAGCCTTTCATTTGAATACTTAAACTAACCATCGCTTGACATGTCTCTGACTAGTCAGTGGGGGGCAATCGAGCACTTGGTCTCCTTATCCGGTCCTTCCAAGTCGGTACTAGCAGATCAAGGTCATCCGAAGCAAGTCGGTACTAGCAGATCAAGGTCATCCGAAGCAAGTCGGTACTAGCAGATCAAGGTCATCCGAAGCAAGTCGGTACCAGCAGATCAAGGTCATCCGAAGCAAGTCGGTACTAGCAGATCAAGGTCATCCGAAGCAAGTCGGTACTAGCAGATCAAGGTCATCCGAAGCACAGTGATGGCCGCGTATTTTGCAAACGTGCGATCGCTTTTTGAATGCTGTATCGCGGTCTGGACGGAGGCGGCCAACCCCCACTCAGAGCAGGTCGATCGAGTGCAGAATAAGTTTCTTATTTGGTTACTTACTCACACATTCTCCGGGCAAACAGCTTCTCTTATGACAGCCTTCTGCTCCATTTCTAAATCCCATCCCTAGCATCACTAAGAGTGCAGCACGATTTACTCTTCCTGAGACACATCTTCCAAGGTAAACTGGACTCAAAACTTGCTAAGCTGTTTGCCCTTGCTTGTACCGCCTCGATCGACCCGCGCCTGAGCTCTGCTCGCTGCACCTCGCACTTGTGTGCGGACTGCACGAAACGGTCTATTTTGCAGACTGCCGAGCGTTGGGAGCACTGTTATAACCAGCAACATTTGCGCCGATACCATTCATAACAGCTTTGACATTTTTAGAGTTCAAGTGATCAACGATTTTTTTTTACTCTGCCACAAATTCTCTTAGCTTAAAGGTGTCTCATGCTTTACTTATATCCATACTACTGTGTGTTGTGTATTCGTCGTATTTAAACGACTTCGCCTGTTGGGGAAGCGCCAGTCATGTAGCGTAACACGGTTAAGCAGCAATACCGCCGTGCCGCGAAAGAGGATCAGGTAAATCATAATTGGCTACCACCTGGTTACCACACAATGTCCAAGGGTCAGCAAATACGCACGGCTTATATATATATATATATATATATATATATATATATATATATATATATATATATGGGTGTGTGTATAGACACATGCCACTGTGTCGCGTGAGAAGCGGAGACAATTAAGATCATGACACAAACTAGAGAGAAAAAGGCACAGCAAGAAAGGCATGTTCATTTCTAGGAAGACCTTTGACAAGTGTATGCTCCTTTGGGGAACGTGGTATGGTTCTGGAGATCTTCAGAGCGAAGCCTGTCATATCAAACATGACCTTATACATGGTAAATACCATGCTGCTACAGACTGTTATTGTTGTGGAACCGCGTCACGTTTTTGATGACTGATCTGCTCGACACAGAGGTGGGGATGTTTGTGCAGGATGTTTTAGTTACGCCGGCTCGGTCTATGAAGTCGACGTTAAGTCGTAACAATGATCAGTGGGTAAATGACGCAATTTGGTCCCTCTTCTGCTGCGAGTACGTTTTAACACTCTCCTCAGAGCTTTGGAACCGATCCAAATAAACGTGGCACAATAAGCAAATAAGTGCCGCCCGCAAATAAGTGCCACCCTCTCGTAAAAAGCATCTCGTACACTTGGACCTCATGTGTAGTCATGCTTTCTCCAGCGCGGGGTTCAATGTTTTGTCGAGGGAATGCATTCACTCATGTTACACTACAACACAAAACTGATCGCACTGGCAAAGAACGTGAGTCAGGCTTGTTTGCAGATGAGTGTGTTAATGTGCACACATGTATGGATGAGCTCATGGAGGCAGCATCGTTTGCGCGGAAGACAAGTTGCTTTTCCGCGGAAATTTTTCCGACATGCCAATATCTTCACAAGCGTTTGGTGCCGACCTCGTTGCTCTTCCGTGGAAATTTTTCCGATATGCCAATATTTTCACAACCGTCTGGTGCCGACGTCGAGACACAAATACAAGCCCAAGAAGTAACGCCGTCTTTACATACCTCGTTTTGGGAGCAGACGGAATCATGCACTGTCTATTTACGAGGAAGACCCACTCAGTATACCCATTTTTCTTTAATGCTCCATTACATCGAGCACGTTCATATACCGCTCTTAACAACACGTACGCTTAAAAGGAATGTTCCGCATTTGAAGATATTGAAGAAGGCATCAAATATGGAGGAAGAAGCTCAATTATGACTATTGGTACACTCTTAAGTGGGAGAGGCTGCTCCAGATGACCCAATTCTTCTGTTTAGTAAATACAGTCCTCAATGCGTCGTTGTTTGGTAACTCATCGTACCCTCCATAACATTGATTCAGAGGTTATTGACGGCCGCTATATCTGGAAATCAAGCTAAAAAAAACGCCGGACATCAACGATTCGATCATTGTTTTGCTTGACCTTGCTCGCCGCATGGTCGATGGAATGACAGGATTTGAATGACGATAATATGGCATCACGGACGCCTGGGTAACCTTAAAAGTCTCCCCCAAATGGTCTGCGCTTCTTCGCGGGCGTGTAGCTCAGAAACTAGAACGGTTTGGATCCGAGGAAGGGTAGGGCTGTGAAATGCACAGAATAATCTTCAACGTGTCTATTTCAGTTCAAAATCCCTTGCAAAGGTGGAGCATCCCCTTAATTCTTGCCAAACGCAGCAGCCGAGAGGATCGCCATTAGAACGAAGTGAAATTTAACATACACGCTTCTCCTAAGTGATGGAAGTAAGAGGCACGCTTGTCCAGAAACTGCGACGTGGTGCCGCACCTTCATTACAGGTAGGACTGACATACGCGGTAATGGATCCCTCCCTTTAATCCCTTGACCCTTTTTCTGAGACCGGCAATTAAAGCTTTTTGCTGAACGTAATTCCCGGGCTCAACAGCTTCACCGAGCCGTACCACCGGCCCACTCGGCCAGACCACATTAACACGGGAAACGGCACCAGCCCGGCCGCAGCAGCCGCAGCTGCAGCCGGAGCCGAGCAGCTAGCTGGCCGGCAGCAAGCGCAGCGGTCGCCGACGGCCGTGTGTACAGGTGCGTCTTGAGCGCAGCAGCGCCATCGATCGGTCCGGAGCCAACGGCGGCCGGGGCCGGCGGCGGCCCAGCCCAGCCGGGTGGCCCGCGCTGCGCCCCGCCGCGGCTGTCGGCAGCGCGTCGCGCCACGGCGCCCCACCCAGCACGGCTCCCCTGGCCGAGCCGTCCCTGTGGCTGCGGCGGGCCGTCCCCGGGACTGCGGCGAGCCGTCCCCGGGACTGCATCGAGCCGTCCCCGGGGCTGCGATGAGCCGTCCCCGGGACTGCGGCGAGCAATCCCCGGGACTGCGGCGGGCCGTCCCCGGGACTGCGGCGAGCAGTCCCCGGGACTGCGGCGAGCCGTTCCCGGGGCGGAGGCGAGCCGTCCCCGGGACTGCGGCGAGCAATCCCCAGGACTGCGGCGAGCAATCCCCGGGACTGCGGCGAGCAATCCCCGGGACTGCGGCGAGCAATCCTCGGGACTGCGGCGAGCAATCCCCGGGACTGCGACGAGCAATCCCCGGGGCGAGCCGTCCCCGGGGCGTAGGCGAGCAGTCTCTGGGGCTGCGGCGAGTCGCCGCGCCCCGCGCTGGGGCCGACAATGCCAACACCGGCACCTGGCCGGGAGAGGCGTTGCTGGCGCCGACATGTCGGCGCGGGTGGCGGAGCGACACTCACGCGCCGGTTGGGCGGGCTCGGCCGACGGCACTGCGGGCAGCTCCGCGGCGGTCGGGCCCAGGTCCAGCAGCTCCTTGTCCAGCTCCTCCTGCTCCAGCTCCTCCAGTTCACGTTCCAGCTCGTCCTGTGTTGCGAGTGGATTCAGGATCAGAGACATGCGGTGCCAGGGACAGTGACGGCAGCAACGGAGGGCAGCAGCGACCGATGGGGCCAACACTGGCGCCGTTCGGGAGCAGCGACGGGTGGCGCGGGAGCACGAGGCGACAACCCAGAGCCAGCGTCTGGGGCAGGCGCAAGCCACATCAGCGCCACGTAACGTCAGGGGCAGATGACAGAAAGGGACAAGTGACGTAAGTGGCATGTGACGTAACAAACACATGACGTCAGGAATGCGAGTCAGGGACAGACACAGACAGCGTCGAGGATTGGACCCGCAATCGTGGCCCAATCGTCACCACCATACACAGTGCAGCGCTACGTCGCACCTAAAGAGGCGCCTTCCTTAGCGAAAACAACGCACGCGCATGACATGAAAAGCACGTCCCACATAAATCTTGAAAGACACAGATTCAAGCACATGTATCAATTGAAACAGTGGCACGAGCGTCGGTGGGCCCATTCAGCGATGGTCCCAGCGCAGCCATCCCAGGTCATAAATTGAACCACTGCACCCATTTCAGTTTCCCCGCCACTTTACAGGAAGTGAATAATTGGCTTTTACATGGCCACTCTGCTAGATACAAATAAATACCATAAAAATAAGATGGCATGAATGGGATAACTTTGAACATTAAATACGTAACCAACTAACTTATGTTGAATAAACTCAGTAAAATATAACGAACTGAATTCCACCTAAATGGCATTGTGAGCTTCAATGAGCTGACTTGGCCGCTTCCGCAGGAAATCTGAGCTACCAGTGCACACCATAGGAAACATGAAATGCAGTCCAAAAGCATTGAGCACACGTGTCACTGTCAAATTAGCCTAGGCTCCAAGCGATACCGACAGCTTTCTTTCATGAGTCAGCCTGCCATTCCTTCGTGAAAAATAGATAAATTTACTCTGAGAACAGAGCTGGCTCTCCTGTCTGTCGCGCACACGACGTGTGGGCTTACCACATATGCAATGTTTCGTCTCACGTTATTACTCTGGGAAGCTTCTCCACACCCGGCCCATTCGCAGGAGTCCAAGATGACGGCGGGATTTCCTCATCATTCACAGCATACTGCCCCTCTTCAACCACCGGCTGTCAGCAGACGCCACCAGCACAGCAGCCAGCAGGAGACCGCCGGAGCCACGGCATGAACGCTGGTCCGACACATGCTGATCTACTGACCCAGCCAGCCCCTGGCACAGCACTCTACAGTAGGCGTCGTTGCATCCGTCTGCCACCCACATTTGCACAGTTCTTTGTAACTATGACCGACGGACGCACGTCACTGGTCGGCGGCGTAACCTCTGCGTTACCCGGCAGCATAATAGAGTAATAAGTTCTCCGGCCAGCAGTCGCGTGGGAGGCGGAGGGAAGAGGGTAACCACTTTCCAAACAAGGTCCCGAGCTTCATTTGCAAACGGAACGCGGGAGCGTTTCCTGCGATGACGATCACAGCTGGATAGCACGCAATGTGTAGACAACAGAACAACCATAGCATCGATGCATCGTCCATGCGCCCACCGCCACCGGCTTGGCATCTAACCAAGAGAGCAAATGCTTGGAAGGAACGACGAGCACGAGCGACAAACCTGTCTGCCGGCGTGCATTTGACCAAAACAAGAGCAACACTTGCAATGCAAATCACACCACATTTTGATCGACATCAGCTGAGTTTGCTGATTTCCTGAGAAGGTGACACCTGCTCACTGACAAGTCGACACAGCGACTCTTCCCGGACGACGGTCGAACCAGCACATATAACCTTGATGAAGATTGTGCTTTTCATTGTCAGAAATTTACATCCACTATTGGGAGATAGCGGTACCTGGTGCGAGAGCCAGTGCGACAGATGCCCTCAGTCTTCTGGAATCCATTTCATTACACCCACACCACGCCTATTCTATCCTGGTATCATTATATCCTAGTTTGACACCTACGCTGGCGTTTGTACGTGATCCTCGCGTTGGTACCGAATGCACAGTTTAAAGCCCGCTGAACGTCACACGTGGGAGGGCGTGGGAAGCGGGACTGGCTGGATACTTCGGTGCATTCCACTTGGGGTTGGGTTAAGTAGCGGATCATCTGTATAACGTTGCAAACGCCGGTATTTGCGTAGGATGGGGATCGAAATTAGTGGTGACACTCGTGCCGTCCCAGGTAAGTTCATATCCGCGCGCATAAGCACAACAAAGCGACAACGGTACCAATCGGGCTAGAAACATACCACGTCACTACAAGGACGTGCGTGATACATACTGCATTGCTATACTCGCACTAAAATCCCAGTCTTCGTTCCATACATCAGGTGGCGTCTCTTTCTTTTAAGCGTCGTTGCACGGATGCACGGTTTCTGCTGGCTTTCAACTCTGCCGTTCCTGACTCGCAGACGATTCTGTTTACTAAAGATGAGCTGACCCAGGGGAGTTTTGTTCATCAGATTTATCCGGAATAAACATTGCCCAAATTTGTTCAAACACTAATGCGATGTACAACGCAACAGCTGACCAAATACTGCGATGACAGGCCTCGCGCATATAGGATTAACGATGACCCCGAGCATAAATCATGACACTCTTTACGCGAGAGCGACCGGAATGTAGCGTGAGTGGGCAGTGATTACGAATCAGCCTTGCGTGAATGGAATAAAAGCAATCATGGGCAGCACAAACTAGCAGTTATGTTTTCTGTAACTAACTTAATATCCTTGCAGCAACTAATTATTGCTTTATGCAGCTTTTGCGCCGCAGGAGCAACAACTTTTCAAACGTTTTGTTGAATGAATTCCCACACATATACGCAAGATGGTTGATCAGGTGGCCTTTTCCTGCACCACTGCAAGATAACCACGGCTTTGCACCCACCGTATTCGATTAGCATGACAACGTAACGCTTCCAAATCGATAACAGGTAAAGGATACGGGTCAGTGGCCCAGACAGCCCTCCCCCAGGGGGACACACAGGCCCAGATGTCGGTAGCAGGCGATGTAGCGGCATGAAACCGGTACGAACGCAGCAGACAGCGACAACCACCGTACCAGCAACAGAGTGAGTTGATGTATTCAAACCAGCACACATAAGTGTGCTCACCATGGATCCGCCCCTTTAGGAGCGTTTTTCAGGACTGATGTCGAGGTGGGGATCAACATCGGGTCGAGAACGTGAGGGCCGTGACAATTACGCAGTCCGTGACAATGACGCAGTCCGTGACAATTACGCAGTCCGTGACAATTGCGCAGTCTGTGACAATTACGCAGTCCGTGACAATGACGCAGTCCGTGACAATGACGCAGTCCGTGACAATTACGCAGTCCGTGACAATTACGCAGTCCGTGACAATGACGCAGTCCGTGACAATGACGCAGTCCGTGACAATTACGCAGTCCGTGACAATTACGCAGTCCGTGACAGTTGCGCAGGCATTGTCCCGTTCATTGTCACTAATATCCATCCAAAAAGATATGCATGATTGTGTTAAATGCCTTGGACAACATTAAATTCAAAAGTGGTCAAAATTGCCAGAGCTGTGTCATCTCAAATGCATCGCTCTGTTCGATTAGAGCTGACAAGCCCGACCAGCCCAATCGTCAGCTGGCGCTCAAGCGACGTTATCTGCGATCTAGCGCGCCAAAGCTTCGCCAGCGGATCTCACCTGGCGACCAAACCAATCGCTGACTTTCCAGGACACTGATCAAACGCACTGGTAACGGCTTCTCCAAACCCTGATTCCATTGTCATATTTTTTGGCGCGATCTTCATGATAGCAACACACAACTCTCAGATATGTCGGCGCCTCGTTCGTTCTGCGCTTGTCGAGGCTTCTCACTGGTTGCACAGCAGCCAGCGATCCACCGCGCTTCCTCCCGACTCCAAGCATGAATCCTGGAGTTCGATCCGTCGGCTCGCCGGATGATCCCGGATTCCAGCAGCCTTTGAGCTCCACGAAACCGCTATATTTGTGACACCCGACCAGCAAACATTGGCCGTCGACGACCGCCGGCGCGGCGATGTTTCTGTGATGTTTCTGCAGATCCGACACATGTCTTTTCAATTCTATTCGATCCGATACATCCCTGTTCAATTCAATTAAATTTGATGCAATCCGATCAAACCGAGCGGCCGCAGGGCGACCATCGCCGGTGTACTCCCCATGATCGGCGTCGGTATACTCCCCCTAGCCAGCGCCGGTGTACTCCTGACCGGCGGCGGCCGCAGGGACCGGAGGGACGACCGGCCGCGCGCCCGGGCCCGCCCACAGGCTGCCGGGTCGTCACAGGAATGAACCGGCGCGGCCACCAAAGACTGACCCCAGCCTGAGCCGCCACATCGTCCCGCCACACATGGCCAGCTGTAATGAACCGGTCCCGCGCCATACGCGGCGTGAAGACGATCTATCTAAATTGTACCGTCGAACACGCTTACTGCGGGATGACCGACCAGCACCAGCTTCGACGATGAACTTGCAAGTGGATGACAATCGCGCGGCACACCTAACCTCGGGGTAGAGTGGCAAAGTTCAGCCACGTGAGTGTCAAGGAGAGCAATATTTTGTTCGTGTTATTATACACGCGTCTTGGGGTCCATTGGCTGTTGCTCCTCCCTCGTCCACGATAGACCAATCAGAAGCGAGCTGGATGGCGGTCAGCCCAGCATCTGCGCGCCTCGGGCAAAGCAAATCAGGCGAGCGAGTCAGGATGGGAGGGTTTGGGGTTGAAGGGCAACACATAAGCAGCAGATAAGCAGCATAAGCAGATAAGCAACACATAAGCAGCAACAAGAGTCGTGGTGCAGGCCGGACGGAGGAGTAGATAGACGTCTGATATGGCATGAATTATTAATGGCTTCCCATGCACCCAACTAGACAATTTTTCACGCTGCTATAGGGCACAAGTGAGCACGGACAATGGAAAGCCGGATCTGCTGTAGCGAGATCACACCCAACATCCTCCAGTGTTTTCCAGGTCACCCAC